AGATGTCTTACAAGACTAGCTTTAGGTCATATCCCTTATTACAATTCAGTGCCTTGAATACTATGGCAAAGTTTTTGTTTTGATTTAGTTTAGTTTAAAGGATTTTTCTAACAAAACATGGTGTTCCAAAAGCTCAGTAGAAGCAGGTTACTTTATTTATTTTGGTATCTTGTGTTTGTTTTATTACTCTCCAGCTTTTAATCATGCTTGTCTATCATTCTTCTTCAACTAAAGAAACTTCATGAGACAAAGATGTTTTCTAGTGCATAAAAAACGAAACACTTGAATACTCAAAGGAGTGATATCTGTTTTCTTCCAAGAAAAAAACAAAAAAAAGCTGCACCAAGTGACTTGATTCCTTAAAAACGCATTTTCCTTTTAAAAGAGATGGCAAAAAGTAGTAATGCAGGCTAAGAAGCAATGCAAGCCAAGGAGAGGAAATGCCAGATACTTGAACCATGAACTTTGGAAAGTACCTGTGAGAGTCATGAGAGCACAATCCTTGGAGAGTCTCTTGCAGAAAAGTCTTTAGAAAGTGGCCTTGTGGGTCATCCTTCCTCCATTAATTTATTCCCTCATTTCTCCTACACTGGTAATTTTGACAATAAAGACAATATTTATCTTCCTTTCTAAAGTCTAAAGCCTATCCTCAGTTCTTTTCAGCCTTGAGAAATTTTTGCTTTAGATCAAAAAGGCATCTGAACCTGTCTGAAGAGACCTGGACCTGTTCAGGCTTTGGACGTCTGTCAAATCTCATTCACACGTATACTTAGAAATTCAGTAGTGACAGGCAAGCATTTGTGAAACTTCTTGTATCCACTGTTCCATATATTCCCTTACAATATCTTATAGCAAATATGTGGGATGAGGTGGGGTAGGTGAAAGGAAGGAAAAAGGGGGTGGGAGAAGATGAGGATCAGGTTGAACAATCTTACACTCCGTTTTGAATTATCAAGTTCTTTCCATCCCACGGATGAAGAATTTATTTCAGCAAATTGCTTTGAACAACCAGGTGAAATGCAGAGAATCATAGAGTTGGAAGAAACCACAAGGGCCATCCAATCCAATCCCCTAACATGCAGAACACATAATCAAAGCACTCCTGACAGATAGTCATTTACCCTCAGTTTTAAAACCTTTGAAAAGGAGACTTCACTATGCTCTCAGGCATCCTATTCCACTGCCAAACAGCTCTAATAATCTGGAAGGTCTTCCTAATTTTTAGGTGGAATCATTTTTTTTCCTGCAATTTGACTCCATTGTTCTATGCCCTAGTCTCCAGAGCAGCAGAAAACAAGCCTGCCCCTTTCTCAATGTAATATTCTTTTAGATATTTAAACATGACTATCATGTCCCTTGTCAGCCTTCTTTTTGGCAAGCTAAACTCACCCAGCTTCCTAAGTCATTCCTCATAGGGCTTTACTTCCAAACCATTTGGGTTGCCCTTGTCTGGACATAATTCCATCTTGTTCACAATCTTCTTGAACTGTAGTGCCTAGAAGTGGACACAGTATTCCACATGAGGTCTGACTAAAGCAGAAAAGGGTTGGGCTATTTCATCTCTTGAATTATACTTGAGGCTACCTAGAATCACATTGGGTTTTTTAGGTGCCACAACACATTATTGACTCAGTTTGTGGTGTGCTAACATGCCTACATCTGCTTCACAAGGACTTTTTTCAAGACAGATGTCACCCATCCTGTATTTGTACATTTCATGACTTAAATTTAGTTCTATACATTTCTCCCTGTTAAAATTCATTTTGTTAGTTTGGGCCCAGCTCTCTAATCTATTAAGATCATTTTGGATCCTGATCCTATCTTCAAGAGTATTGCTTATCTCTCTCAATTCCAGGACATCTGCAAATTTGACAAACATGCTTTCTATTCAATTGTCCAAGTCACTGATAAAAGATGTTGAACAGCACTGGGTCCAGGAACCTGTGGCGCCCACTAGTCCCTTCTCTCTTGGATAAGGAGAAATCATTGATAAACAGACACCCTCTGTTTTGGGCTGATTAACCAAATTCTTATGCATCTGAACCACTTAGATTTAAATATTGTTGCTATTTGCCATAAAGATGGTTTTGACTCAGGGTGTAATTAATTACACTATAGAATTAACACAGTTTAACACCATTGAAATTACCATGACTCAATGCTAGGATTTCCTGGCAGCTGTAATTTTGTGAAGAACCCACACTCTTTGATAAAGGAGACTGAAGACTTTGGGCCCTTCCCCGCAGCCATATTACCCAGAATGTCATGGTGATAATCCACAATATCATCTTTGAACTGGGTTATCTGAGTCCATACTGTCATATAATCCAGATCAATGGGAATTTTATACAGCTGTGTGGAAAGGGCCTTTGTAAAACTACCATGCCCAAGATATCTTTAGGGTTTCTCAACACACAAAATACATCTTTAAATTATTTTGCAAATATTTTTGAACATTCTTTCCATCCCTATCATCTAAAAAAATTTTTTTCATTGATTTTAATAGCAAATATTACATGTACACCTTGCACGTGAACACTCTGTGCTGTGGTATAAATAAATTCTTATTCTATTTAAAGACACCTACTTCTCTTTGTGTACATTGCTGAAATTATTTCTGCTTTTTCCTTTATATAAAAAAGTACATTTGTCACACTTAGAAACAAGACCTGTGAACAGATCAGTTGTCTGTATACCTATCTGAAGAGACGTTTGTTGCTATGAATATTCATAAAGTGATAAATATAACGAGGTGTGATAGTTAATAATTTTCCAAGTTAAAAATATTTTAATGTATGAAAAATATAACATATGCTACACAGCTGAACAGAATATTTTTAAAAGAGGAAGCCAGTTTCTTTAATTAAATGCCTGATGTTATTAATTTATCATCAAGAATAATTTTATTTTAAAATATTTTAATGAAAAACAAGAAGTACAAATATTAAGAGCACATATTTTTGTTTCTTTATTTCATGTTTTAAGATTAAATAGCATAGTCGTTACAAATGGCTAATATGGGTTATAAAGGAGATGATAGGTAACCTTGTTCTCATAACAACCTTGTTCTTCAAGTTAAGATGTGTCCCTGGTGAGGCAACAAAATCAGTGGCATGGTTTATAAAGACAATAAATGGATAACACAACTTTGCACTCTGTCCCTCTGTTTCTGGAGGGATCTTTATAACAGTTGGAGATCAGTTGTGATTCAGGTCTTCATCCTCTCAAGCCACCATTTATATTTACTTTTCATGGCCCATCACAAATTGTCAGCATGGGTATTATGTTTGTCCAGATGGGGTGACAAGGAGCCCCAGTTGGAGTTAAAATGACATTTTGTTAGAAAGGAATAAAGCAGCAGGTACATGAGTCTAAGAATATAAGAAAGGCTTTGATGGGTCAAAGCTCAAGCTAGTTCTCTTTGCTTTTTTCCTAAAGTGGGTGGTCATATTTTTATGGAAAGCCTGAAACCAAGATAACTGACTGAAGTTCAGAGCCATGTTGCCTCAGCTCCTGTGGTTAGGATATAGCCATCATGTCTAGTAATAACTATTGACAGTTTTGTCTTTCATGAATGTGTCCATTTTCCTTTCAAAGCCATCATTTGGTGGCTACACATCTTGTTGAATAAACTTCATGGTTTACCTATCTTCTACATGAAGGAGTACTTCTTTTTTTCTGCTAGAATGCAGTATTCTCTCTATCCAATTTCCTTCACCATGTATAATGTAATACAACCACCTTTAGCCCTCTTCTGGGTTTACAACTCTAGAGAAGAAATTATTCGCTAATTTTGTTCCCCAAGGAAACAGTGGTTAATTTTAACAATTGCCTTTCTGCTCAGAAAAAGTCTACACAATCTGTATAGTTCTTGAAGACCATTCACAGTTTAGCACTTCTTCTGCACAAAATTCTTGAATGTGATTATATTTTTTTAGATGCCACTGAAAATAGCATTTTCTGTGCCGGAAGGAAGATAGAATACTGGAACAGGGGACCTGGAAAGGATCCAACAGGATTATCTTTATGTACTTTCATATCAAATAAGTTACATGCTCAAGTGTTCCCAAAACTGGAAACAGTCTTATATACTCCCCAGCAATTTTGGAATCCCTATGGTACACATGTGTACACTTGTACATGCCTGCAGAGCGCTCTCATCAGAGCATTCTGTAGAAGTAACCATGAGAATCCAGGATCAAGCCAACTCCATATGGTAGTCATAAGATATATGCCAGTCATCAGAATTTTCAGAAGCTGAACATGGGAAGAAACCAGAATGCAGTAATATAGGCTGAGAAACTGCATAGGTTTCTGGGACCATTCCTTCCCCAGCCACACTTGCCTGGCAGGCTGTCACCTCTGGCCACCATTTTGAGGTAATATTTTTAGTGGTGGGTGGTTGCAGAGTGCTTTGAGATGTAAGCACAAGTAAACTACTGCATTTCAAAGTAGTTTGGTGAGCTTTTGCCCAATTTTGAAGTAATGATAACCTGAAAATTAGGCCAGATTTTTTTAGATTGAGAGATTTTAAGATTTAGAGAATTTCTGAGTGGTTTAGTGGTTACACTTAGGAGTCCCAAGACTCCTAAGTGCAACCACCTTCCTTATTTTTTTAGTAGAGGCCTAGGGAACAGAAATGCAATATATCAGTAGTTCCTAACCTTTGTTACTGCAAATGTTTTGGACTTCAGCTCCCAGAATTCCTGACATTTGGTCAAGCTGGTGGATGGTTCTGGTAGATGAGGTCCCACTGGGAACAACTGCAGTAGATAGATTCACCAAAACAGACTAGGAACAACTGGAGTAGATAGATTCACCAAAACAGTGAAATTATCCAATCAGTTGCTTTTATAATGATTGAAGCTCTGTTCTTGAGAAAGATCTGAATTCGCAATTGTTTATTGTATTCACTAAGCATTGGACAGGAATTGACAAAATATTTATGACCTGCAGGGGCTTTGACTTTTCATTTCTCCTCTCTCCTTCATCCCCAATAGAAAGCGTGCAACTCACAGTGCTGGCAAGAGGAAGGGAAGTCAGAAAGACCTGAGACCTCCAGATCTTTGGATACACCATGAAGAGATGGAAATGAAGAATATTGAAAAGCCATCAGGTTCTGAACCACCAGGAAGAGACTCACCCATGCAAAGCTGTCAGGACATCACTCCAGGCAGCCACAGCCAATCTGAAACTCAGATGGGCAGCAAGAGTGCCTCACAGTCTGGTAATAGTACTACCCATCCCTCTGAACACCCATGAATATGTATTCTGGGCTCTTGATTGCTCAGCACTTGTGGATTGCTGTGTGAACAGACTTCAATGTGTAAAAGCCAATTATAAAACTACTGCCTGCAACATTTGCTCTTTCATTCACACATGAAAGTAATCACTCAATGCTGTAATCATCACACGGTCAGCAGAGCCAATAGGCATTTCATACAGTGTTTATTCATATAGATATTCTGAAAGTGAAATGTGTTTTGTACTGGGAATCTGTAGCATTTATGTGAGAAGTACAGCAAATCCATTCTTGGTGCTATTCCAAACTTTAAAGGAGCTATCAAAGGACCTTAACCACACCTTCCAGCACAGTGAATAGCTCTTTTGCAGTATATAGTATTGAATACTAACAAGGAAATTAAGACACTAGATACACACACACAAACCCTGAGTGAAAATAAAGGCTATTTGTAAAAATAAATTATTTATATTTCATCCCAGAGCTATTTGAAAGGTCAGGGGAGCAACCTAATGTGGATCTTGGCTAAGTGACAGCTAGCAACTCCTGATCACCTTCTCAGCCCAGTCTAGGTGAAACATCTAATCCCAAGGGGCAGTTCCACCATGGATCATATTCAAGGAGCACTCCTCTATAAACCTCTGAGACTTTTGAAGGAGAGGAAATCCCTCCATCTTCCAGTCCCAAGAGCAATCTCCTACACAGCTTCCCAAGCCACAGAACAAAGAGAGGCCATCCTCCAGCCAAAGGCGGAGCCAGGCCATGCATCAATTAAAATGTTTATTTCAATTCCTACCAATGAAACTTAATTATGGATATCACCCTATTCCAATTCCAGCTCCCTCGGGCACAGTATAGGGTGGATGAAAACTCCCTTTTAAAGGGGGAAAAGTTCTACTAGGCCCATTGGTGAGGTACGTAAGGCCCAGATGGAGAAAAATGATGTCATACAAAACCTCTTGGAAATCTATCAAATTTCAGCAAAGCTTCTGCTGGCAAAACAAGTAATTTCTATCCTCAATCTGAACCTGAGCTATGTACGTCAGCATTTAAGTATACCTAATGATGCATGTAGCAAAATGATATTAATTCAGATTCTTTTACCTTTCTACATTTGAAACCACACTTTCATTTTTATCATTAACACACTGCCAGACCCAAAATCATAAGCCTCGCAGCTTCTTGACAAGAGCTTCATTTGAGGTCATATTAAACAACTTTTTACGCTTGTAATTTAGCTTAATATTGAAATCTACTATCATTAAACAGACACCGAGACCTATTTTTGCTCCCGAGTACAATACTTAAATCCTCAAGGTTCATTTATATAGCAAATGGCCCTGAGTTAATGGACGATTATGCTGCCTTTTAAACATGATGGCCAATCGCACAGAAGGTGGAATGCTGATTTGAGCAAATATCAGTCCGTAGGAGTCTGAGCATTCCTACAATGGCATCTTCATGAAATTAAAGGGAGATAAGAAGCAAACAATGCTTTAGGAAGACAAGAAGTGTCATTTTTGCAGAGTGGTTTCAAAGAGACACGGCTGTTAATCCGCAGCACAATTTTACAGAAAGAAATTAGAATTCTAAGTTAATAGAAAGCAAATGTGAAGCAATTATTTCCAATCTGAAGTGGTTTTTAAACTATCATGAAGAGATGCCAACTGAGCAATCAGCTTTTTCAGATGGGGAGTTTGCGGAAAATGTATCCTCCTCTAACGGGGAATGCTATGTTACAGGGAAATCTGGGAATGGAGGGACTTCATGATTCATTTGATTGTTGTATTGCTTTATGCCAGCTCCTGACACAGAAGAAGTAGGAAGCAGCATGTCCACATTGGAACGTTCCCTGGCAGCTCGCAGGGCAACACGTGCCAAACTCATGATTCCTATGGACTCACAACCCAGCAATCCTTGTAAGTTGTACACTGATAGAATTATGTACCAATATACCCCATAATGTTTTCTGTTGCTTCATATGACAACAACAACAATGATAACGATAATGATAATAACAAATTTTATTTGCTACTCACTTCTCCCTTCAGAGCTTGAGATATAGTATGTTACAAGTTAAAACACAGAGATAAAATATGATACTATTAAAATGTATATATTGAAATACAGAGAAAAAAAGATTGAAACCAATATTACTCTTGTCGTTCAGTTGTTTGTCCCCCTGCCCTACCTGATTTTAGGCTCTGCTGGACACAGTACAGATGATAAAAATGCAGGATTGGGATTTTTCATTTATGGTACCCAGGCTGTGTACTGCTTACTTTAGGAAAGTCATTGGGCCTAAATTTCCCTATTCAGCTTTTTTTTTTTTTAAGCATGCCCACCCAGCTCTATGCTAAGCAGGTCAAAATGAAGAGTATAGATTGATAGTGGGGCCCATGAAAGAGCTGGGGTTTCCTGCTGTATACTATCAACAGAAAGGCAGAGAAACATGCCCCATGGGCCACCTCGGGGTGAGAAAAGCGGTATATTAAATGCTGTAAATAAATAAATGGGTCACCTTCTGTTATGTGGCCACAAGAAGCTCACCTTAACCATAAATAAAGGACCCTTCCACACAGCCCTATATCCCAGAATATCATAGCAGAAAATCCCACAATATCTGCTTTGAACTGGGTGATCTGAATCACCCAGATAATGTGGGATTTTCTACCTTGATATTCTGGCATATAGGGCTGTGTGGAAGGGCCCAAAGACTCATGGCCCTAAAAGTCTCCATTTGTCATGCTTCATTTTTAAATCATATATTGCCTGGTTCTCCTTCCCTCTCTTCCTTCAGAAAAAATAAACAAAGCCACTTCTGGCCTTGCCAAATAGAGACTGTGAGTCCATGGTGTGTGTGTGTGTGAAATTGTATTCAGCAAAACGTTTTGTTCATGAAACCCTTCAGAAGATTTTTTTCCCCATGGGACCCTCAATCTGTTCCTGATTTTCCCACAGAACCCTAACTCTGCCCCTAAGCACTGGGAACCCACAATGTTCTTCCTTTCTTCATCTATTCTTTTTGCCTTGTTGTTTTGTATAAGGTGGGTTTGAAAATAATGAGATTCAAATTTCATTTTTAATGAAGTCCATTCATATTTCAATGGTAGGTAGCAGTTCCTGTGTCAACAGAGTGATGATTTCTCTCTAGATTGTAGTCCAAACTTTAAATGTGCTATCCAAGGTAATGAATATATAGCAGAGATAGAATCTGGAAACTTGAATAGTTACTTCACACTCTTGCCTGAAACTTATAGTGAATTAACTGTGCCACTGGCATTGCCACTAGTGCCTAAATATACAACTACTCTCAAGGCAGATGTTGTATGCTGGGCTGGAGTCATAGAATCATAGAATCATAGAATCAAAGAGTTGGAAGAGACCTCATGAGCCATCCAGTCCAACCCCCTGCCAAGAAGCAGGAATGTTGCATTCAAATCACCCCTGAAGATGGCCATCCAGCCTCTGTTTAAAAGCTTCCAAAGAAGGAGCCTCCACCACACTCCGGGGCAGAGAGTTCCACTGCTGAACGGCTCTCACAGTCAGAAGTTCTTCCTCGTGTTCAGATGGAATCTCCTCTCTTGTAGTTTGAAGCCATTGTTCTGCGTCCTAGTCTCCAAGGAAGCAGAAAACAAGCTTGCTCCCTCCTCCCTGTGGCTTCCTCTCACATATTTATACATGGCTATCATATCTCCTCTCAGCCTTCTCTTCTTCAGGCTAAACATGTCCAGCTCCTTAAGCCGCTCCTCATAGGGCTTGTTCTCCAGACCCTTGATCATTTTAGTCGCTCTCCTCTGGACACATTCCAGTTTATCAATATCTCTCTTGAATTGTGGTTCCCAGAATTTCATTGTTTAAAGAAGTCCATTCACATTTCAATGGTAGGTAGCAGTTCCCATGTCAACAGAGTGATGATTTCCCTCTAGATTGTAGTCCAAACTTTAAATGTGCTATCCAAGGTGATGAATCTATAGCAGGGATAGAATCTGAAAACTTGAATAGTTCCTTCACACTCTTGCCTGAAATTTATAGTGAATTAACTGTGCCACTGGCATTGTCACTAGTGCCTAAATATACAACTATTCTCAGGGCAGATGTTGTATGCTGGGCTGGAGCTATAACCATTGCTCTTCCCAACCTCACCAGCATCTATACCCAGCCAAGATACAGGTTAGATAACTTATTGTGACATCCAAAGCTGGACAAAAGCCTACAAGTATACTAATAACATAATAGTAAATTAAATAATGTATGCTCTCTGCCTAATGGCAGGGTCAGGAACTTCCCCCAGATTGATTGATTGATTGATTGATTGATTGATTTACAACTTTTATATCTCATGTATTGTCGAAGGCTTTACATCCCATTTTTCTCTACCTTCATAGAAGGACTCAGAATGGCTAACAGCAAAAATTCAGTGCTAGACAATAGATAACATTTTAAAATCACATACATAATACAATAGGTTAAAAATACATATAAAACCATTTGTCAAGTTAAAAGCATCATCCAACTCAGTGGGTGCAGGAAAGAAACTATCCACACTTGGAATTTTGCAAAGAAGGTAAATATTTTGCAATTGACTCTCACTGGGAAGATTCAAGGGTGGGCTGTTTGCTTTGCAGTAACTGATGAGCAGCATCTATCTAGATGCCTGACTGCTCACTCATACTAATCTTCCATATTTGTAAATGTACCAATGTCACAAAAGTGCCAGCACTTCCAAAAGAAAGCAAGATCTGTAGCAGTTGTCCCTATAATTTTATTCTCCTTACATGTGAAGGAAGTTGCAAAATGCTGCATCAAACTGGGAAGCCACTGTTTGAACACCATCATGCAGACAATCCTTCTGGCAACTGTATATATCTATCGCAGATGACTTCAAGTTAATTACAGTGGTTTCATTTTGACATACTAATATAAATCCGTGAATTTTGTTTATCAGAACTATTTTTCCGACATTTTACAGTTGGTTTTTATTTTCCATAGTCCGTCTCAATTCCCCTCTTTATATCATCCTCCTTTAGAGCATTTTATGAGTGCTAAATAAAACCTCCTTGAGCCTCACCTGCACCACTTGTGAAAGTTGTCAGTGTGGGATAAATCACAGAGGAGAGTCATCTAGACTTTGCTGGCACTTCCTCAGATGGAAAGTTGTGTTAGAAAACAATTTAAGAAACTCATGTATAAAATATCCAAGCCTTTTTGCAGTGTCACAATAGTATCCCAATAGTATGCTGTTTATTTTCTGATGGAATCGGCTATCTCTGATGCTCAAGTGCATTTAAATTCAGGATGGATGCATCTTGTCAGTTTCACTTTCTCATGCACTGATGTTTTTAAAACCTTAACTTCTTTCTAACCCAAATACATTTGAGAATTTAGGTATGAAATGAAACAAATTTCCCACCAATTGTAGCAATCAAATTCAGTTGATACAGTTATTCCCAGATGTTTACAAATCAAGCAGTCAAAGACTTGGGTGTCAATGGACAAATTCATCAGATTTGCACACAAATGTGTGTGTGGGGGGGGGGGGGGGGAGGGTTGCTAAATAAATTTATTTATTTATTTATTTATTTATTTACCATACTTGTATCCCACCTTTCTCAACCCCAAATGAGACAATGCAGCTTTACAAAAACAATCATTCAGTGCCACATGCATTCATACATCAATGAATAAACAAAAACATTTAAACCAACCAATTAAAACATAACATTAAAACAACAGTTAAAATCACATAATCCAGGTCATATTCCAGGGCCAGTCTGGGTCGTCATTAAATTAATTTCTGATCTCTCTTTTTTTTTTTTTGCCTTCCTCCCATTATTGACCAAAAAGCGTGATCCCAGAGCCAAGTTTTTAATTTTTTTTCTGAAGGCCAGGAGGGAGGGGGGCAGTCTAATTTCACTGGGGAGGAAGTTCCATAGATGAGGGGCAACCAATAAGGATATAATTGGTTTCTGAAGTATGAATAGATATAGACCTATATTGTACATAAATGTATCCAATATCAGAAGAGGCTCTTTGCTATGTTTTTGGAGGTTTCTTCTTGTGTAGACTCAAAACCAAAAACCAAAGGAAGTAATGCATACTATCTGGTTCATTAAGTATATATGTTTCCATGCATCCTGTTCATCATAAGAAGAATGTAGAAAGAGCCAGGCTTACCATGACACAAAGTCACTTATCAAATAGTGGGTATCATGAAAGGAAAGCAAAAGTAGTAATTTACTTTACAGTTGTTGGAATTAATATTGTTGGTGGATTCAAGAGAGTGCCCAAGAGTGTGACAATTGGTTCAGGAAGCAGATATGAGTGTGCAGGTAGTTCTACATGCTCAGCTGTACCTTTTTGTGTTCCATTGAATCATAGAATCCTTGAGCTGGAGGAAACCTCGTGGGGCATCCAACCCTCTGTCAAGAAGCAGGAAAATCACATTCAAAGCAGAGTTGGTCCTGGCAAAAATAGTTGGTCCTAGCATGACCTAGAGCAGTGGTTCTCAACCTGTGGGTCCCCAGATGTTTTGGCCTTTCAGGATTTCGGCTTCCAGAAATCCTAACAGTTGGTAAATTGGCTGGGATTTCTGGAGAGATTTCTGATCTAGCGCATTAATCCATTTTAAATCCAGTTTCTTCCTCTTGCAGAATTCTGGGGCTTATAGTTTGGGAAGGGATCTTTAAACTGCTCAGTTAGACAGGTTCTCACTAAACTACAAACCTCAGATTTCTGCAGAAGACAGAAATCAGATTTAAAGTGTATCCTTGTTCTAGTGTGATGATGCAAGAGAGGCACACCCTGTCCTTAATTTCTAATACTACCTTTGCCATTCTTTTCACCTGGGTTCATCTAGGTCCTATTTTATCTACTTTAATGTTGTATTAAAACCAACAGGCAACATACCTGATGCCTGCCTATCCCTATTATATCCTTTAATTACAACATCCAGAATTACCCCAGATAATATAAACACTGCCCATGCAGTCTGATGAATTCTGGAATTCTAGTCCAAAACAACTTTTCAGAGCTCTGCAGCCTTAGTCTTCATTTCTAACATTGAATCAGAAAGCATTCATTCAAGTCAGGCACATGATCTTCTGAGGAACAGAAAAACCCACTCTCCACTTACACAGAACTCTAACATTTCAGGGAGAAAAACTTATTGTAGCCCTATTCTTTGGTGTGTTATTGTACAACTGGTATACATTGTCTATTTTTATGCAAGAAAACATTTAAAAGCATCAGAAACACACACACATTAATGACGGACAGTCCTCAAGTAATGCAGATCATAAATCTAATACTCAGTTTATCACATTGTTCTTCCAAACGTATTAACATGATTCAGAATTAGGCAGGGAGAATATCCATAGACTGCTTCATATTTTCACTGAGAGAGTAGTCCAAGGTTTTTGCCATTTATTCCTGTGTCAGCATAGGAAAATATTAATCACAGTCAAAGGTTTCTATTATTTATATCATATATAATAACTCTGGCAAAGTGTCAGTATCATGGGAGAAAAAGAATCCTATAAATGTAATCTATTTATCTGTGCTATAATTGCGTTGGAAAAATGCCTCTTATAATTGGACAATATGAAATTGAATCTTCCTTCCCTTATACCAGCATAAATCGATTTGCTTACTATGGAACATGTCATGAGAAAAAGCTATGGTGCTATATGGATGCAAACTTGTTTTGCCATTTGTCAAGTATAAGGCCTGGGAAATGGAGGAAAAGAAGAGCTCTCAGTTCATCGTAACCTACTATCCTATCACATGTTGTACAGCTTTAGACAATATACTCGGCTGTTAAATCTCTTCTGATTCATCATTCCACAAGCTTTGAATAGCTGAAAAAAGGTTCTCTGGGTAACTGTTGGCAGCCCAGTACTGGCTAATTGAGTGTATGAGATAGATTATAAAGAATTTAGTACCCCATGTGTGGACTGGACACAGGTATCAGGGCTGACCAAGGCATAATAATGACTTGTTTCACAATAAAGCAAATGGAAGATAATAAATCATGACCAAGTTCTTCATAGATTAGGCTCTGGTTAAAATCAATATCACTAGAATGTTTTGTGTTCCTTTTCTAAAATTGCTGCTGAAATATCATAAATGGATACTTTTAATTATAGGGTTTGAGCTTTTTTTTTTTTTTGAAGAAACAGTATTTTGAAAATAATGGAATAAACCAAAATTTCAACAGCTCTCAAAATTACAGCATGGTCTTAACTCTATGTATGGTCTACTGGTTATCCAACCTCTTATATGAAAGAGAACTTCCATTTGATCAGCACCATCTCTATTACCATCATCATCATCATCAACAACAACATCCTGGCAAGACAGGCATCAATCATTAATGGGAAGCAAACTAGTTGGCCATGATTATTTTGGCTGCAAGACTGGGTCATAATGATGATTGCCGTACATGAGTCATCTATATTCAGAATAAACTCCTTCACCAGTGTCTGTTCAATGAAAAGAACTGTTGGAAATGGATTCCAAAATCAGAATAGCACATTAAGTCTGTGCTATTCTGATTTTGAAAGACAAATATAGGCAAAGCACAAAAAGAAATGAAACACAAGAGCTCCTTCTCCCTCTGCCTTTCACAAAGAAACTTTGTTTTGTGTTTTCATTTCCCTTTCTGCATTTCCCATGGACTTGACAGCATTCAGGCATCTTCCAATTACTCACCGCCATTTAATGATGCCTGGCTCTTAATTTGGAAGCTATTTTGAAGTTGAGATAAGCACTAATTGATCAGCTTTTATAATAAATAGCATCAACTTCATTTGTGATATAATCCATCATGTGTCCTTTTCTTTTACACACTTGATTTTTATTTGATTGAATAATGCAGATTTATTTCCTTCAAGCCAGCAGTGGTGGGTTGCGTATCCAAGACTGCAATTAAAGCTCTGTCAAATTGTGTGTCTCGCATCACCCTTCAAAACACAGCTCCCTTGCTAAGTCAGCCACAATATTCATCATCTCTTTTCTCTGAATTAAGTCTAAATTCTCATGTGCTCTTGCATATCTTCCGACCAAGTGCACAGTGCTAAAGCTATGTTAACCTTTTTCTTCCTCCCTGTAGCTGTAGTCAGCGCCATCCCAGTCCCAACATTAGAAAGTGCTCAGTACCCAGGGATTCTGCCTTCACCGACATGTGGATACCCACATCCTCAGTTCACGCTCCGACCTGTGCCATTCCCAACACTCTCAGTTGATCGGACTTTTGGGACAGGAAGAAGTAAGTAGAAGTGTTTCGCTATCTGAAATTGCTGGGAAAATAAACAGCCATGACACTGTGCCAAGTAAACGCTGCAAGGGGATATTGTAGCAGTGAGTTATTTTAAAGGTAAAAAGTTCAAAGCCAGATCTAAGAAAATCATATTTTTGGACTGCAGCTCTCCAAGTATGGTTGGTGGGGATTCCAGAAGTTGGGATGCTAAAAATGTTTCTAAACTGAATGGAAGCTTAGTAACACCTGGAAAATGCAATCTGATTCGTGTTGTTTTTCTTCTGTCATTATGTATTGGCTTTCCTGATAGTTTCTTTCTAAGCAGTCATAATGATTGTGACTATTCCATGGCACCCCATCATCTCATCCAGTAGCTAAGTAGACAGATATCAATAAGAGCATGCCAAAGGTACTTTTAGCTTTGCCCTCCAGCCCTCCAAGGTTCTCACAACAGCTCAATTAATGGCCAGGAAGTAATAAAGCTATGTGCTGGGTATGTTTTTTTCTGCCTAAATCCATATATTTTCTAACTGATGGGAGCCAAAGGCTCCTAGTTTCAATTGGAGCTTCATATACGCCATTTTAAAGTAGCATTTGCATTATATTTGTATTTTTACAAGAAATCTGGAGGGAGACTATAACAGCCAGTTCCTTTGCTAACGTCAAATGTGCATAGCTGCATATGCATAGATATCTCATTATCTGAAATAGGACAAGAAAGCACTGCATGAAGCCTAAGCATGTGGAGGAAAGGATTATCAGTCCAAGTTGACTTACTAATAACGACTCTCTCTTTCAACATGGAGAACCTCTATGTGATTGGTACTAGAAAAGGTTCACAGTTAAGCCTTTCTGGCATAGATCTTGCAACGGCTGGTATTTCTCATCCCTCTAAGAATGCCCAAATGATATGTATGCATCATGTCTACTGAGGGGTTCAGTATATTGTTTGGGAGGGCAAACCAAGACTAATTTGTGATGACAGCAAGGGGCGGCAGAGAAATTAGTCAGTAGAAGTCTACTCTAAGCCTGACTGCAAATTTTAAAACAGCTATTCAAAATGTTCTTTATATTTTTGGCTAGTATTTATTGCCTTGAGTAGCTTTGTTAAAATTCAGACTAAAACGCAGCTGAATTTACCACCTTACTGACATCTACCTTTAGAAACCATCCAAGGATATATTCTTTCCTTAATAGCCCATGGAAGTGTTGCTGATCTAACTAACTTCTAATTGCTATGAAGGCTTCTCACTCATGCTTTCTATCCATCTTGATGTGCATTGAGTAGCCTATGATTTTGCTTTACTTCCCTGTTTCCTTCATCTTTATTGTACAGGTTGTGGATCTGATACTTCCAGAGCTTAAAGGTTACCTTTATCACTCTGGTACCCCAAAGTAGTGGCCTGTTGCAATACAATTTTTGAAAAGTTTTTCTTTCATGTTTTTCAGATGTATCTAAAGAGTTAATTGTCAGAAACCTATTGTAATCCTAACAGTTGCTTTGGTCTGTGGTACAAACCTTATTCCCCTTGAATCTTCCTGGCTATTGTTCCAATATCTACAGCAGTGCACAAGGAAGCAGCACAAGCCAGCACCGAAACTATGTAATATTCCTCCACCACAATGTAGTGAAAACCAACTAAAAGTCATAATTATACCACAAAAGGAGGGTAATCTCTGATTAAGTTACAATCATAAAATACTTTTTTATCTTTAATGGGTAAAGAAATTACAAATACCCAGCTCTCCATACATAATTTCTGCCAAAGTCCAGACAAGTGTTTCATTTTTAGTGCAGCTGAGTAGCAGAACTATCCAATGAAGGACTTTATGAAAGAATTTGGAATTGCCTGAATGTATTTCTGTAGAAAACTGACAAAAGTTCTGTCTGCTGTGACACAAACTGTACAAGTGAAGTATTCTTATCTGCCCTTGATTGATTATTATCTTTACCTTATTTCCCTTCACAACATTGCACACAAGGCAAGCTCTGCTGCCTCCCATTTGGCAGATAGGGAACTGAGGCTAGGAGAAAGTGGCTACTCTTGAGATGACTTTTTTTCATTTGCTGCCACAGGCATGGCTGTATCTGTGCAGCTTCAGCTGTCAAGGCAGAAGATGTTCACAGGCAACCAGATGAAAAGATTGTAGTTTGTGCATATTACTACTGACATGTAACAAACCAGCCAAGCAGTTGCTTTTCTTTCCACTTTCCTCATGCTTGGCTAGCTCTTGAGTACCAGAATGGCTCACTTAGGGTTTGAAAACGTGTTTTGAACTTTCAGTTGTGCCCTTCCTGGCCAGCATCTAACATAGAAAACAGTTTTCTCTTATCTTCCATTCCACTGTCAATAACAGTAAAATTGGGACATATGAACATTTGATCCTAGAGAGTGGTTATGAAAGTAATTGAATTAGATTATTGCACTGCAGTTTAAACCACGTTGGAGGCTTGCCAGAAACAAATAAAAGCACAATTTTTCAAACAGCATAATTGTAATCTCACCCCAGGTGATCTGAAAGTCATTTGAAAAATGTACTTAATGAAGACACTTAGGAATTATCTTTTGGCTTTATTATCTGTGCGATGAAACAAACAGTGGTTCTGCAATGGGGACTAGACAAGGGAATCAGGGAGGGGGGATGTGAAACCCATTGTGGGCCCCAAACCAAAAATTAACCTTTTCCTTTCCTGCTGTAAAGATAAAACTGGATCCTTTCTCTCCCTTGACACCACTTTAAATCTTATTAAAATCAAAACTTCATTCCAATTTCAATAGGATTTGCAGTTTAGAACCCCTTTCATTACCATGGTTCAATGTGTTGGAATCCAAATAATTGTAGTTTCACATTGTCTTCTCTGCTATAGCGATGGTTCCTCATCAAACTACAGTTCCAAGGATTCAGTCTGACACCACTTGAACTGCCAGGATTAAATGCTATGGACACCTGGGAGTTGTAGTTGACAAAGTCTTTAGCCTTCACTGGAGAAGCACCAAGATCCCAGAGCACTGAACCATGGCAATTAAAGATGAGTCAAATGTCAAATTCTATTGAAATCCTAGCAAAATTTTGATTCCAGTTTTGTATTTGCAGCTAAGGAGAAGAGAAAGGGGTGTGTGTGTGGGGGGGGGGGCTGGAAGTGATATCACGTCTTTCCCATCTTCCTCATTCCCCTCAGCTGTGGCCTCTCCATATCACACAGAACAGCTGAAAAGTATCTTTAAAACTACTTGTGCAGGACAAGCAGGGTTAGACAGGAACCCTCTTATCTCAGCTAAGATGTCTTTACCACAAGTTTCCCATGGGAGAACCCATCTTTGGAGATACTTGTGATATTGTCCTTCATGTCCAGCATCCTGTCAGTATGTATAATCTTGTGAAGAGAATGTGTATTGTGTATCAAGGTGCATGCACATTTGAATATCCATTTACTTATACCATTTGAATCAGTTGTATGATACTGCCATTAAACATATGGGTTGTTGTACAATCATAGCCCAAGTATTTTTACAGTAGTAATTATGGCCCAATTATTATTAGGACCTGAAAAAGTTAATTAGTTGACTATGCGCTCCAGAATATTCTAGTCAGCATGACTCTTGGAAGTGGTTGTCTGTGATGTTACCTCTTCCCCACCTGTTTCCAATCTGGTGAATATATTGAAGACATTGGTTGAGATCCTTCAAGGCAAATGTAGCTACGAGTGTTCTTTTAATCTGAATCTCTAAAACGTGTCCTAAAAGTAAGGTGGCCATACCAATTAAAGGAGTTCTGTGGGATTGGCAAACAGGACACTAAAGGATGATGCATCTCACCACCAGTGAGCAGCAGTGCAATTAGCAGTGGCAGGGATCTTGGTGGTGTCCTGTTGCAATCCTTTGCCACACTGCAAAGACAAATACCCCACTGGTGGGAGGGGGCTAGATGCAGCATGTTTTACACCCCGCTAACCAGCACTACAAACCTCATCTAGTTGAATTTCAAGGAGCATTTGGGGTCATGGAAAGTGCACCACAACCCTAAATGTGCATATCAAAATGTGTTCAGTCATAAGTCTACTTGCAAAGAACAAACTGGCTCTTTTTTCCACATGTGGTGGACATGCAAATCTGCCAAATCCTACTGGAGAAACATACACAAAAAAATAGAGAAGATACTTGAAGTAAAACTTGAGTTCAAACCAGAACATTTTTTATTAGGAATAATTGAAACAGAATTGGAAAAAAATAAAGGCAAGCTCTTCAGCTTCCTAACAACAGTGGCCAGAATATGCTACGTGCAGCTCTGGAGATCAAAGGAGACTCCGACACAAGAACAATGGTTACTAAAGACAATAGACATCATGAACATGGATAAATTAACACAATTGATGAATACAAACCAAAAGATGGAGACAATAAAAACAAATTGGTCTCCAGTAAAGAACTTTGTAACTAAAGAAAAGTTTAAATGGATGATAAATATACAATGAAAGCTGAATACAACATCCTGAATGAAGATAATGCTAAACAGTCAGCCAATACGATGGACAACTCAACACAGATTCACAACCATAGCAAAGACAATTGGAAGCCAAGATTCCCCAACTCCCCTCATCTCCCCCCCCCTTCTCTTCCCACCCTAAGCCACCACTCCCTCCCCAAAATCTCCCCCACAAGTCTTCACAACCTTCTATTCCTATTTTCCCCTTTTATTTCCTTTCGATTATCACTTGTATTACATTTCAGTTTTTTTTTAAAAAAAAAAAAAGATACACAATACACAGTTTTTCACAATGTTGCCAACCATTTGACTCCATTTCTGCATCTGTCAACTGAATGTGGGCATTCTGTGTTGGATAATAATGCTCAGTTGCTTCTATAAGAATATTGACACATGCATCAACATATTCCATCCTTGGTGGCCTTGAGGTTCAAAGTGATATTGAATATGTCACATAATTTCAAATATCCGAGGCCTCACTCAAGTGGCTTCTTATTCAAACTGGGTCATCAGTTGCTATAGCA